CAAATGATCATTAAATCCTATGGTGTTGGCTGTTAATTTTACTCCTGGAAAAAGTAGGTAATAGCAGTAGAACCAGAATTAGTGAGCTGGACGAGACACAGGGACAGTTTGCAGCGGTTAGAACTTTACATGCAATTAATTCCTTTCACAAACGCATATGCTCACAGAAATGATTGATTTTACTTCTAGTGGTATTAAAAAAGGAAGCAGAGTAGGGATATTTGTTCTTGAGAAGTCAATGACCATTAAGAGGAAAGGGAAATGGGGGGAGAAGTCTGGAGCCTACAGGAATTTATAATGGTAACAGTGAGGCAAAATCTTGCTAGTTAAAAATAAAATCTGGAGGGAGGATCAAAAATGTTAGGACTGGCTCAGAGGTGCGCAAGGACAATCTTGGACTATTCATCCAAGAATGCCATCCAGTTTTGATCACAGGCTTCATTTGTGCTCCCAGTTGTGCACAGGAATAAACTTTATAGACATTCAACAGCCTCATTCAACAGACTTCTTAAAGGCAACACTGGAAACGCTCACCCCAGTGTGCTGTAACTGCTTGCAGGATCAATGCTTAAAACCTATTTTATTATGTAACTTTTCTTGTATGATCTCAATTATCAATAGAAAACCACTATTAAAAAAGAATCTAGGATTAATGTAATTAAAAGTATTTTAATAGCTTTTTAAAGACTTTAAGATTACAACACTCTTTGTTTTCAACATTTCCCTAATATAGCTATTATGTGATTTGCAGTAGAAACACCATATAATTAAGGCATCTTAGTTTCAGTTGTAGGTGCATTCTAGTTTCCTTTTTTCCCCACCACGGTGAAAATTTTTCATCAAAGCAATTTCTGTATCTAAGGAAAATGTATTTTATAGAAACTGTATTAAATGCACATTTAGTTGTTCTATTTATGGCATATGCTTCCAATAATACAAGTTACTATGGCACTTCCCACCTTCCATTTTCAAGGTGAAAGGAATTTACTCCAATAAATTATGCTTTCTTCCTATTTCTGGTACTTACCATCTCAAAGGTGAAATACCTCCTTTAAAACTTAGTTGTAAAGGATTTTTCATTCATTAAGTTTTGGAATCAAAGCTTTTTATTTCTAGCATTTTTTTTAGTATTACCTTTTTAGCCAGAGGAAGTATTTGTATGCCTCTGTTGTCTTCTCACTTGTGCCAATAACGCTGGGATATTTGTTTTTAAAAAAAAAAAACAAACACAACCTGTTCCCACAACAGCTGCTTTCACCACTAACAGGTAACCAATAGTATCCGTATTAAAAAAATTTTAGAATATGCAAATACTGAGGAGTCTCTCTCTCTCCATTAGACTGCAAAAGCCTAAAAGCCTTGACAGCATGCTGCAACGCCAGGGCTTCACATTCCATGGTAATACAGCAAACTCGAGAACCATCGCCGCCAAGTCCCAGACCAACAGACTCAGAGGCACAAACAGCACTATGTAGGTTCTGATGAACACCAAGCAAAATTCATAGTCATGATAATTAACTTAAAGCTATAAATACTGTATCTAAGTAGTAGTATAAGCAATATTAATTATTGCCACTAATCACTGCATTTCAATGCAATACAAAATATAAAGGTGCCTTGACCCATATACAAAGGAAATACCTCTGGTGAAGTACTGGAGGATGTTGGCCCAAGTGCTCATTTGCAACTACTCCTGACAGATCACAGCCAGTATCCCATTCATGTAGTAGCACCATTGAACTCCTTGCAGACAAACCACTCCTGTATGTGTAGGATGGAAGCAGATGAACTGCATCTGTTTTGGCAGTAGTGTGCCTTTACTGACTCCAATTTTGACTTCTAAGAAAGCAAACGGAAAGTAAGTAGGGAACAATCATCAATACTGAGGACTGCATTAAGGCTACACTAAACTTCGTCTGAGAAAAGGATTTGTGGCAATTCAGTCAGTGCCTGTGTTTGATGTAGCGATAATAAACCATTATGACCTATAATTTATATTTTGTCCACCAGTTTTAAAAGGAACGTTATCTGTCTACATGAGGATCACACACTATGGAAGCTGCATCTGTGTGTAGTTACTGGTGGCTGTAATGGCAGTAAATCTCTAGCAGAGAAAGAGACGGAGCCTTATAGATTCAGACATCCGCAGTCTGAAGGTTGTTTCAGAACTTAAGGGCACATACAATATTGCCATATTAATATGCCTGAGAAAATAACCAGGGGTAAAAGGGAAATGGAAACAAGAGTATGTTTTGGGTTGGAAACAAAGACTCCTGTACCCTTCTGTCTCTACTATCTGCTTTACTGATACTTTATCCTCCCAGCTATCAAACTAGACAACCCAGATTTATGTTTTGTTTTGTTTTAGCTCATAATGGCCACCATACAACAGGGCAATCGGCAGAGCATAAAGCACACCCACTTAATCTTTCTACCACAACATATATTAAGTGTACATCTTATCATACAATTTTGACAGTCCCTGAGAATCAGAAGTCCCTATCTTTTCCCAGGCTCCACAAGAGCGTATGGCCCACACATAACATATTGAATATACAAACCTGCAGAGGAAGATTGTTTTAAGGTCTGGAACTCGCAGCAGGAACCAAGCTAAGTTCAGTTCCACTTAGAAGCCATAAAAGCATGGGTTTAAAAAAAGTGCAGCAGTATCTGGTGTTTGATATCTAACAGTATGCAACATGTTTATGACATGTATTAGGCTACAAAATCTGAGTTCATAGCCTGGGACAACAAAGCAGAACTCGGCTCTGGCATATGTAATGGGAAATAGAAAGGCATGACTCGTAGTGTAATGGATATTGCTGCTCCCTCAAGGGCTTGAGCTGCATAGAGCAGGTGGTTCAATGAAAGACATCAGCACTTTGCAAAAAATTAAAATACAATTAAAAGAGCAATTAAATAGCAGCTGGTTTAAATAAGAGTCAATTCAGATTGGGTTTTACTATAAGAACAACTCAATTCAGTTCTGCAGAATTATTTCTCAGAATTGAAAGGGTAAGAAAGTTTGGATAAAGTATGCAGCGAGTAACTAAAACTGTCTCAGTCACACAGAACTCAGTTAAAAAGGGTACCCAAATCATGAAATCTCGATGAGGTATCAGTTTCAAACTACTTTAAAAGTAGTCTGATTCCAAATTGGACAATCAAGTCCCGTGCCGTTTTCTGTGGTCTTAAAACAGCTTTTCCCTTATTTTAATGAAAACTTCCCTCCCTCACATTAAGTAAAATAACCACAGAAGCAACAAGAGAAAATGCCCAAGTATATAATGGAAAGAGGGAAACATACCAACATACACAACAACATACCAAGCCTACATATTGAAGAAAAAAAAAGAAGTTTTATACATTAAATGAGATCAACAGAAATAAGTGTTTAAAAGGGTCATGGTTAATTTCAAAATATGCTTTGAAGGGTAGGACTGTCTCCAGGAAGAAGAGGAGTTACTTGCCAAGTAGGAAATCATGTCAATACCAGCTATTCTTAATCATCATAGTCTCATGCAGTGGAGAAAATTTAGTCATTTTACTGAGTGAACACCACTTCTTATTTTCAGACCTCGAAGTCTTCCCCCCTCCTCCCCCCCGACACCCTTTCTCTGCAGTAAATATTATACAAAGCCAAATGGTGGATTCTGTGTTTGAAAAAGCTTGTTTCGTTTTGTTTTTTCATTTTTAACATGAAGTAAGAATTAGAAAGAAAAATTTTGCATTATGTATGACCCATGAGAGTTTGAATCAAGTCAATCTATTCTGAATTAAATTTTGGGTTAATCTTCCAGGCTTATGAGTTATATCTCATCCTCTAGACAGCAAAGATACAAAAGGAAACCGGTGTCCCATGTCCCAAAAAATTCTCTTACATATTGGACTATTATCAGTTGATAATAGTAACTTTTGATTGAAAAAAAAGATTTCTTTCTCCACTCACTTGTGTGGAGTACAAAAAGCTAATAATCCCATACAGAATATTTTCTGAGAAATGCATTTCCAAAATGCAACTAACTAGAACTTTCAACCTCAGTACACCTGATCAAAAAAACAGTATGATGTAAAAGGCGGCAAAATAATCCCGGAACAGCAGCATGTTGATTCACCTAGAACAGGAAAAAGGGGTTTTATATGAGGAATTACGCTTCCTTTACAGTGTTCATTTAGGATTAGAAGACAGTTTGGCAAACATACTGAAAAAGGGGCACTGCAACTGCACAAAATCTCGCCATCTTTCCCTTCCATGCAGCATGCTCCATGGGTCACTCTCCTCTCAGAGGGAAAGTAATCTGAGCTACCTCCACTGAATTCTGCGATGTGCTTAGGTGAGAGGGAAAATAAAGAGCAGCTCTCAGGCTGCTCTTTACCATATCACAGCCTGAGACATGAGCAACCCTTCCATTCCTCTAAGCTGGAGTACTCTGGAGGTTTCAGTTCTGCCATCAGTCAGTAACTGAAAAGCCAAGGCTCTGTTATTTAGATAAATGCTTTAAAAAATTGGTTTAATTTCTTAAATTTTTCCAGTTTTAGGTTATATAGGGCTGGTAAGCAAGATTTTTAAAGATATACACTGTGGATGAAAAACTTCCGAAGTACTGTAAAAAATTCTCTTACATATTGGACTATTATCAGTTGATAATAGTAACTTTTGATTGAAAAAAAAGATTTCTTTCTCCACTCACTTGTGTGGAGTACAAGAAAGTAGAAAATTAAGCAAAGACATTATCTTGTTTTGCACAAGATTTAGCTTAAACATAAAAGGCTAAAACCTCATCCCCTAAGTATTTCAGCAGTGCAGTTGAAGGGCTAAAAGTGATTAAAAATTTAGTTAAATTTTAATTCAACTGTCTTTCCAAAACACGTGTTACCATACTGTCATGTAACATGAAACAAAACAGAATGCATACATAAGCATACCATTTTGGCATATGCATATATATACATATTGTGCAAACCAAGATCATTTATACTTGAAAAATAACCACGCTTACCTGTTAATGTAACTTAAAGCAACATAGGTTGGCTGCTGAAGTTCTTGTTTCTCTAATACACGTGGGTCTGTATCTGGAATAAAAAAATACATACACTGAATTGAGTTTTCTATATTTACATTGAAACATATGGGACTATACTGCAAAGTAACATAAGTGAAGACAAGAGATATAAAATAGCTCAACCCAGTTTATCCATATAGAGTATGCTTAGCACAGCACAATCATTTGTTCATTCATTCATAAACACGGTATTGCATTACTTTACACAAGAATTTGAAACATCAACAGTGATGTAATTTCCAACTGTCACACAAGCTTTCACAATCCCCCTCATAAATATTAGTTTTCACTGCTTTCCATGATTTACACTGTTAAAAGGATCAAGCTTTCTTCTTTTTTAATGTAGCTGTTTCTAAATATGGTTGACACATTTTGAGACGTTCCAAGAGTGATTAGATCCCTTAAGCTGGGACTTGATACTTTTCTTCTGTGTCTCTGAGTTTTGCTTACTCTCTTCTCTACAGCTTATTTTCTGAAGCTCTCAATCAGAAAAGTCATACAAAAATGCACTTGAAGCAAAATGCTTGCCAAGTAGAGCATTGCCCATCAAAAGCCCTGAAGCAAACACAATCCAATTCCCTCGAGTGCTAACTTTCTCACTCAAATGAAAGTATGTTTTCAATCGCTGTTTTCATTGTCCTTTTTAGTTAAGTTTTGCTTTTATCTAACAAAGTAGTAGTCTTGGTTTAAATTTCTGAAACCAAAACCAAGGGAGCATGCCCACAGTTTATGTAGTTTCCTTATTAAAAAAAAAAAAAAAAAAAGGATTATTTCAGGTTTCAAATACAGCCTTGCCCTACATTGCAGAAATGCGCCTTCAGGAGCTCAGCATAAACAGGCTTCAGAAGTTCCCAATGGAAAATGTGCATCATGCCTGTGCAGATTTCTACACAGTCATTAACAACATACTTTATGCATTACTTTGAAAGCAGTTCTAGGTGCAACTTCTGCGTTTTAACTATAAAGAATACAAACTGCTTTTACTAAACAGCTCCCCATAGCACTGCTGCTTTCCATCTTTTATTTCTGAGAAGAGGAACTGCAGGGAAAACCCTTATTTTGGATTGTTCTCGCTTCATCCTACAACTTTAAGCATTGTTAATCTTAAAAAGCTCGTTATCTTGATAGCCACATTTGTTTGACCTGATCAGTTGCTTCTGGTGGTTTTTGTGGATTTTGTTTTGTTTTTAAAACATGATACGATTATTTTGGAATCTGTCTCTGCTGCCCTGCCTCAAGGAAGATTTTTAACGGAACTGAAGGAGGACTGAGCTTGAGGTAGGTGCATTTGTCACACCACTGCCCGAAGCAGGTAATATCCGAAGCGGATAATATCTGAAGCAGATAATATCTTTATTCAGTGAGTAGGGAATCCCCTGTCCCACCCCCTCAAAGCTCAGGCTGATCCTGATCTTTCTTCCTACATTCGCTCCTGCAAAGCTCAGGCTCCAGGATTTGCTAACATGCCTTTATCGATATGTCCCTAAAGAGTTAAATACCTTTAAGGAAGTTCAGAGAAGAGGAATAAAAGCAAAAGTGCCAATCCAACCAGCAACCCCAAGCCTGTTATCCTTAAAATGAGCAGGTCTTGCTGGTGCCTGGGGAAATTCTGCAGTAATTACCAGCACACCACACTTGCTCCGTATTAAGCTAACCAAAGACAGGAAAGCATCAGCTATCTTCTGTGTTATCTTTATAATTCACTTCTCTGAGGAAGTTAGATTCACGAAACACACGAAGATCTTTTACTCGCCTTTGTTTCTACAAAACCCACAGTCACTTAGCAGGCCAAGCATACAACTGCTGTCCCGGTGAGCTCCGTTAGATTTACACCTCAGTGGTGCATGGCCTGCCATGAAACTGTCTCGATCCAGAATGTCTGCAGAGCATTAATCCCAGCCAGGACTATCTGAGAACTGCCTCAACCCAAGTTTAGCCATCTGTGGTTAAATGACTACGTCTTTGCTAATCCCGTTCTTAAATGGGATTAACCTCCATCTATAAACAACAGTTTCTGTGACTGAAAGAGACAAAATTGGGGCTGGTTTACATCAGAGTGCTGCGCGTATCTGTGGGAGAGGACAAGAGAAAGCTCTAATGGAGAATCTACCACCCTTCTACTGCTCGCCAGTGGCTCACCGTAACAGCAGCTGAAGATGAAAATGCAAAGACAAAAAACCAAAATCCCCATAACTTTTGTTAGGAGCATGTTATCAAAGCACAGAGAAATTCGCCTGCTGGCACCTGCACAAAGCAGAGTCCTGTCTCTCAGTAGGTGCTGCCTGACACATGAGGAATGCTCTGCACACAGTCTCTGTTCAGTGTATCTACCCCTTCCCCCTCCACGTACCAGACTTCGCATGTATTTCAAGTTGATTGTGTTGTATATCCCAATTCCACCAAAAAATAATCCAGGAGGTGGTCAAGAAAATCTTGTATGAATTTAGCACTCAAAACGCTTGACACATTTTTATTCCTCTTGCATCCAGCTGCTGGGTTGCCGGTCACGAGAACATCACATTCACTTCCGCACTGTAGCAGGAACTATACATAACACTGTTGGATATTATTTCTCTTCCCCAGCTATAATAACAGAAGATAAAAAGAAAGCACAGAAACTTGCACTGGCGCCACTGCATGGCCCTCAGAGAAGAGCAGAAAAGAGCAGAGACCAGGCCAGCTGTGCCGCGGGTGCCAGCAGCCACGCGGCCCCGGCACAGCCCTTCCCCAGCTGGAGGGGCAGGAAGCCCACACCGGCAGCCCCACTGCACCCACCTAAAACCTGCACAGCCTTGCTATCCAGCTCACCACTGCCAGCTTTTTTCTCACTGTCCTAAAATGCCACCGGTCCATTCCTTCCCATCTCCATTCCCTCTTCCCCATCCTTTGCCCAACCTCAGCCAGCACCTTTCCTCTCTCCTGCCCCTTCCTAACCCCAGTTCTTACTACTCGTCCTGCCTCCCATTGCTCTCTCCTGCCCTCGCTGTCAGGCTGCCCACTCCTCTCCCCTCAAAATGTCCCGACATACGAACAAGTTAAAAATCACATGGAGATGTCTATAACCACTTGTTCACTCTTGTACCGTACACAGGACTGAACATATATACAATTCTTTCCCTGTACTGCCCTCTTCCCTGCGGCCTCGGACTCCCCCCCATTATTGCATCTTACTTCCAATTTAGACAGTCTCGACTTACTTTCTTGATGTTAGTTAGCACACTTCTGAGCACAGGTAAATATACATTACTGTTGTTAACAACTACGGAAAGACTGCAACCATCCCAGGCTTGCTTTAAAAAAAAAAAAAGACATAATTACCTTTTTTTCTTTTTTTTCTTTTTAAAGATACCAAACACAGCTACAGTGATATCAAGTAGCAGTATTCCCTGATGCTGAACCTTCAATCCTGGACTACCAGTGCTCTGCTTCTCTCACACCTAAGCACATTCATATAGACACTAGCACAGTTTTCTAACACCACACATGCTGCCCAAAGCCACAGTCTCCAAACATGTGTTACCCCACTGACCAGGGTGTTATGTATCAGCCAACACTCTCAACTATCTGACTTGGGGATGAGGAGCAGGGGAGGCAAAAATCTGTTGTCAATCTCACAAAATGGCCCTGTATAATGTTAAATGTTTAGTCAATGTTTCTTCAAACACACATAGGCTGGTCAAAGTCAGCCAAAAGTAGCCTAAATAGTTTCCAAACAGACACCTATAATGGATTAAACACTCACAGATGGCAAATCTTTTTCCTGAAAAGTATTTAAGCAGTACAACCTAGGCCTGATCTGAGCTCCCTTTCTTATAAGAAAAATATCCAGACAGCACACACACAAAAACAGCTACAGATTTTGAAGGGACTAGTTGATTAGCATTACTTTAACTAGTTACCCTTGCTTCTTGAATTAACATGGGCTATCAAAGACTCACTACTTCATTAGTTTTGTTGTAACACTTTAAATCTGGTAGAACAAATTGCCACCTGCTGTACATTATTAGCTGCCTTCATTACTTGTCTCTTCTCATAAGCACTATGTTTCACTGATTTAATTTCACAGCAGGAAGAAGAAAAGGACTATGTACTTTCTGTAATGCTGTGGGGTTTTTTTAGCTATGTCCTCTTATTTTACTATGGTGTTAGATTTTGGAAACCCTGTTGTATTCTCTTTTTCTTTAATGAAATGTTATTAAAATAAAATTTTGATTTCATATGAACTACTCCAGGGTTTTGTTCTGGGTCCCACCACCTCACTATTAAAAGACGTGGGTGCTAACATCCACAAGAGAGAGTTACTCAACTAATCATCTATAGGATTAGACACCTCCAATTTCTCACATCTACAACCTGTTTCATACTGGGCAACCAGAGAAGTAGTATGAGTGTGTAATTAAGGCTAAGACCATAAATTGCACTGCGCCATCTTTGAGCTGCTCAGACGAAGCATTTTCTGTGTTGTAACAAACTGAATCACTGACTACTGAACCAAGCTACGCTTACTAAATCACCTCACCCTACGCAGAAATAACTTGCAGCTTGAAAACACTGCAAAATCCTAACCTGGTGAAGTATTTTAAAGAGAGCAAATAATAAGGCATATACATCCTGTGTAAGTACAGTCTTCATCAATTATATGACTTTGTTCTACATGAGTATGTCTGCACAAAAATATATGCCACATCTTCATTATTATACAATAGAGCAGTAAGTTTTGCCCTACAAGATACAAGAAAGTTATCATAAGCAGATTCACATGAGAACTTCACTTTCAGAAAGTTCCTGCATTTAAATCACTGTGAAAAATCACTTTTCACCTTATAAAGGGCACACAGAAAAGTGCTAACAAATTTCAGTGGCATTATTTTACAATCTCAAGCTTTCTTCTTACAGGGACTAGGAAAGGTCACTACCACTAGCAAAGTCATAAAGATAGTCTCAGAAGAAAAAATAATGACTTAAAGGAAGTAAAATTTAAGCTACTCTTCAACATCTTGAATCTGAAGT